TTAAAATGTGAATTTTTGGCCGATTTTCGCAAATTTTCATGATGTAACCCCTTTCCTTTTTTCCGAAAAATGGGCAATTTCGGTAAAAAAATTTTTTCGTTCGGAGATGGCTTAAAAGATTCGCCTGTTGATGCTGATCAAGAATATATATGATTTATAGGGTCGGAAATGACTCCTTCACTTTCTTTTAGGCTTCTGACTGAAGGTCCATTACCATTTTTAAACCGATATTAACAATATTTTTATATGAAATTTTTCGGCAAATCAAAATTTAAAAATTTCATAACTAAGCCAGAAACGCATTAATTTCAATTCGGAAAGCGGCAGTATGTTAATTTTTAGCAGGTTAACAAAACTGCATACTCCATTTAAAATGTGAATTTTTGGCCGATTTTCGCAAATTTTCATGATGTAACCCCTTTCCTTTTTTTACAAAAATAGGAAATTCTGAAAAAAAATTTTCGGCCGGAGATGGCTTAAAAGATTCGCCTGTTGATGCTGATCAAGAAATATATGTTTTATAGGGTCGGAAATGACTTCTTCACTTTCTTTTAGGCTTCTGACTGAAGGTCCATTACCATTTTTAAACCGATATTAACAATATTTTTATATGAAATTTTTCGGCAAATCAAAATTTAAAAATTTCATAACTAAGCCAAAAACGCCTTAATTTCAATTCGGAAAGCGGCAGTATGTTAATTTTTAGCAGGTTAACAAAACTGCATACTCCATTTAAAATGTGAATTTTTGGCCGATTTTCGCAAATTTTCATGATGTAACCCCTTTCCTTTTTTCCGAAAAATGGGCAATTTCGGTAAAAAAATTTTTCGTTCGGAGATGGCTTAAAAGATTCGCCTGTTGATGCTGATCAAGAATATATATGATTTATAGGGTCGGAAATGACTCCTTCACTTTCTTTTAGGCTTCTGACTGAAGGTCCATTACCATTTTTACACCGATATTAACAATATTTTTATATGAAATTTTTCGGCAAATCAAAATTTAAAAATTTCATAACTAAGTTAAAAACGCATTAATTTCAATTCGGAAAGCGGCAGTATGTTAATTTTTAGCAGGTTAACAAAACTGCATACTCCATTTAAAATGTGAATTTTTGGCCGATTTTCGCAAATTTTCATGATGTAACCCCTTTCCTTTTTTTACAAAAATAGGAAATTCTGAAAAAAAAATTTTCGGCCGGAGATGGCTTAAAAGATTCGCCTGTTGATGCTGATCAAGAATATATATGATTTATAGGGTCGGAAATGACTCCTTCACTTTCTTTTAGGCTTCTGACTGAAGGTCCATTACCATTTTTACACCGATATTAACAATATTTTTATATGAAATTTTTCGGCAAATCAAAATTTAAAAATTTCATAACTAAGTTAAAAACGCATTAATTCAATTCGGAAAGCGGCAGTATGTTAATTTTTAGCAGGTTAACAAAACTGCATACTCCATTTAAAATGTGAATTTTTGGCCGATTTTCGCAAATTTTCATGATGTAACCCCTTTCCTTTTTTCCGAAAAATGGGCAATTTCGGAAAAAAAATTTTTTCGGTCGGAGATGGCTTAAAAGATTCGCCTGTTGATGCTGATCAAGAATATATATGATTTATAGGGTCGGAAATGACTCCTTCACTTTCTTTTAGGCTTCTGACTGAAGGTCCATTACCATTTTTACACCGATATTAACAATATTTTTATATGAAATTTTTCGACAAATCAAAATTTAAAAATTTCATAACTAAGCCAAAAACGCCTTAATTTCAATTCGGAAAGCGGCAGTATGTTAATTTTTAGCAGGTTAACAAAACTGCATACTCCATTTAAAATGTGAATTTTTGGCCGATTTTCGCAAATTTTCATGATGTAACCCCTTTCCTTTTTTCCGAAAAATGGGCAATTTCGGAAAAAAATTTTTTCGGTCGGAGATGGCTTAAAAGATTCGCCTGTTGATGCTGATCAAGAATATATATGATTTATAGGGTCGGAAATGACTCCTTCACTTTCTTTTAGGCTTCTGACTGAAGGTCCATTACCATTTTTAAACCGATATTAACAATATTTTTATATGAAATTTTTCGACAAATCAAAATTTAAAAATTTCATAACTAAGCCTAAAACGCATTAATTTCAATTCGGAAAGCGGCAGTATGTTAATTTTTAGCAGGTTAACAAAACTGCATACTCCATTTAAAATGTGAATTTTTGTCCGATTTTCGCAAATTTTCATGATGTAACCCCTTTCCTTTTTTAAAAAAATGGGAAAATTCTGAAAAAAAATTTTCGGCCGGAGATGGCTTAAAAGATTCGCCTGTTGATGCTGATCAAGAATATATATGATTTATAGGGTCGGAAATGACTCCTTCACTTTCTTTTAGGCTTCTGACTGAAGGTCCATTACCATTTTTAAACCGATATTAACAATATTTTTATATGAAATTTTTCGGCAAATCAAAATTTAAAAATTTCATAACTAAGTTAAAAACGCATTAATTCAATTCGGAAAGCGGCAGTATGTTAATTTTTAGCAGGGTAACAAAACTGCATACTCCATTTAAAATGTGAATTTTTGGCCGATTTTCGCAAATTTTCATGATGTAACCCCTTTCCTTTTTTTACAAAAATGGGAAAATTCTGAAAAAAAAATTTTCGGCCGGAGATGGCTTAAAAGATTCGCCTGTTGATGCTGATCAAGAATATATATGATTTATAGGGTCGGAAATGACTCCTTCACTTTCTTTTAGGCTTCTGACTGAAGGTCCATTACCATTTTTAAACCGATATTAACAATATTTTTATATGAAATTTTTCGGCAAATCAAAATTTAAAAATTTCATAACTAAGTTAAAAACGCATTAATTCAATTCGGAAAGCGGCAGTATGTTAATTTTTAGCAGGGTAACAAAACTGCATACTCCATTTAAAATGTGAATTTTTGGCCGATTTTCGCAAATTTTCATGATGTAACCCCTTTCCTTTTTTTACAAAAATGGGAAAATTCTGAAAAAAAATTTTCGGCCGGAGATGGCTTAAAAGATTCGCCTGTTGATGCTGATCAAGAATATATATGATTTATAGGGTCGGAAATGACTCCTTCACTTTCTTTTAGGCTTCTGACTGAAGCTTCCACTAGTATTTTCCTTCTTGTTCCCGGAACCTTCTCTGCCATCATCACCAGTCTTTCATTTTTTCAACGCATCTAAAAATTATGCAAATTCAATTTTTTCCCACTCGAATGGAGGGCTCAACCACGCCTCTTGGCTCTTCTTGCCGTTAAGTAAGCATATTATTATAATTGTTGAGTTCTTCGTCCTGGGAGTCCGTCATTTGGGGGTGACTTTTTGATTCGAAAACTTTTTACGCCGCCAAGGTTAAACAAAATTATTATCTTATTGTTCTCACACCTGACACGTCACGGTTTATTGAGCATTTTGCGGAAGTTGAGGATCGCAATGAGATAGAGATTTTAGGTGAAAAATAAATATTTCTATATTATTTTGTGTTAGGCTTTGGGGTTTCTTTGGCTATTACTGACTGACTGAATCTATAAAATGAAGATAAAATAATTCACTAATTAAATAGCACGTCTAGACTTCATTTAGCACCTTCGAGAATGAAGAATAATTCCAATTTATGTCCTGCACTCCTTATTTTTGTATTACCTTTCCTTTTGAATCCTAGTTCCTCTAGTTCTAACAGCTGGCTTACAGTGATTCGTGTCTCGGCTAGACACTTAACAGTGTGCTGATACCGCAATATAGTTTGTTCGATGCTTGAAATGGAGGAACGTATGGCAATGCTTATACGGAGGAAAGAGACAACCACGTTGCACAAGGAAGGGGAAATTGGACTTATTTACTTTGGTTTTCCCCCATTGGCTAATGGCTTTTAAGCGCAGTCCTGGCCTTGGCTTGCGCTTTGCACAGACTTTGGGGCTTCACTTGTCTTCCCCTAGGTGTTCGTTTCCCCCGTTCGTTCAGGTCAGCAGTAGCTCCTGTCTCCGGATTCCGCAGCTCGGTGTTCACTCGGCGCAGACCCATCAACGTCAGTGGATGTTTCATGGAGCCACAGACAACAGGATATACTATATTCTTAAAACTTAGTTTACCTTTGAAAATATTCTCCTTAGGACTTATATTGAATATTATTTGTAGTATTGGATAGAACAGGATATAGGATATTGAGTTGACCATGTAGGTAGGTTTCAGTGGTGAGGCCCACTGCTGGGGCCTCCAATTAGAGCTAAGCTCCTTTTTGTTCCACAGAGTTGACCATATTTCATTCATACACGCAGGGGACGCATTGAAGGAGTCAATTAAGAAAGTACATTATTAATTTAATAAAAACGTACATACATAGTTTTTAAATTGAACTTACTGAATTTTTGACTTGGTAATCAAAAATTTAAATTCCACCACTTTATCCACATTTACTCAAAACATAAAAAACTTTAAATTATTTTTATTATTTAAAAATTTTTTGTTATATAAATGATAATGTTTTTTGTTTTTTTTTTTTTTACTGCCAAGTGAAAGTTTTGAAACACAGAAAGTATATATGTAAACTTACAAATAGATTACAGTGACCATCTAATTAATCAACTGCTGCCAAAAGTGTATAAATCATAAGCTAAGTCTAGGCATTTCAAACACGACACGAATCAAAGAAATGAATTCCTCGCTTTTGCTGGGGCCTCATTATCCTATTAATATAATAGACGTACAGTGTATATGATGAAGGCGGGGAGGATTCGTTGCCCTCGCACTACGTGTATAAGTTGCGTTACATATAAAAATAGAAACTCTGTGTTGTCCTCAGTTGCGGTTCTAGGTCCTCAAGTGGGTTGGCTTCGATGCCTTGGATTGATGCTCTTCTCGCTATGGAGATTTCCCTTGTCATCTGCTGATATCCTTTCTTCTCCTCTGATACTTTTTATTCCATTCACAGTTCGCATTTGTAGGCACTTTAGTGTTTCTCAAACAAAAAAGCATACAATCGATCCGCTCCTCTCTTTCCTCCGATAAATATTTACTGGGTGGGGTTTGACAACTCCTGCTGCTGGTTTTGCTCTTGCTTCTGGCTCCCTAACGTGGCAGTATCCAAGTGGCGGGCATCTGGTGCTCCTTGCCTAAGTACATCTTACCAGAGTTGGCTGAACGCTCCAAACTCGTTGTAGGAATTAACCGAAATAACAAAAATATCCTTACTTTAAACTGCGTTCCGTTCCATGCATAATTAAATTAGACGTAAAATTGCTGCTGCCTCGGCATTGTGTCCTTTTCGAAGGAGGGCGCTCTCTGTCCACTGTTCCTAATAAAACCATGGACTTTGGAAGGCCGTTAAAAGGGGCGCGCTTTACGCTAGTGCGTTTGCTTAGTAGCTCCGCCTAATAGGCGGCTGGTTGCGCGGGTTAACTCTAGTTACAACATAACGTAACGGTAACCTACAACGATTAATCCTGTTCTTAAAGGTTACCCACAAGGCCCTCAGATCGGTGGCGGTCCGCGGATGTAGCGTAGCTGGGGCGTGAAGCTCATGGACAGGTTGTTCAGGTTGTCGCAGCAGTTTGGCTGCATCAGGCAAGCGGCGCAGAAAATGGTGAAGAGGGCCACCTGCATGGGTACAGCCGCCCGGGCAATACGCCATGCCCAGCCGCGACGAGATCCTTTGGAATCTGCATCCTTCCCGGTGCCATCCTCTTCGTCGCTCTCCAGGCTGAAGATCAGCGAGGGATCATCTGAGGGATCATCGTCGCCATCGCCGCTAGTCAGAGTTTTGAGCTGGCTGAGAACCAGCTTCTCTTGCTCAGCGGTCAGCTTTTGATCCACTTCATTCGCAACACCGTTCTTGGCCTGACGGGATTTGCGCGCGTTCTTTCCGCGCTTGCCTGGCGAGTGGGGTTGCGCCTGGCCCTTGACCACCGCTTGCTTGTGCTTCACCTGGCCGTTGGCCTTGGGTGCGGACTCTGATCGCTGGCGGCCCTGCTGCTGCTCCTGCTTATGCTCCTGTTGGCTCTGCTGGAGCTGTTGCTTCTGCTGGTGGCTGGCTGCCGTGCGCACGATCAGATCCCGGCAGGTGTTCTGCAGGTGCTTGAGCTCCGCCTCGGCACTCTCCATTCTGGCAGCAATCGAGCGCATGGCGTCGCTGCCGGGAGCAAGGGCCAGTTCCAGCTGCTTGGCCAGGCGCCGCAGGACACCCAGGCGTCGCTCCCTCTCCGACAAGCCGCCGTCGGAGGTGGCACCGCCATCGGAAATGCCAGAGTCCGACAGCGAACCGTTCGAGGCAGTGAACTTGGCGATGTGGTAGATGTGATTAGGGTCTAGGTGCTGTTGCACGGCGAGCAGTTGCTCTTGGCTGACGTGCACCTTCTCGGACAGCAACTTCGCCACCAGCTTCACGTTCTGTGCCAGTTCCACGGGCGTGGCCTGTCCTTTGTCCAGAGCTCCTTCCAGGCCCTTCAGGGTGCCCCTGTCCTGACCCAAGGCCAAGTGGAACTCGCTCAGGCCGGACTCCAGCTGTCTCCAGGCAATCAGCGAGTTGGTGAGCATCTCCAGTTGTGTGTTGATCCTATAACCGGCAATGGACACTGATTAGAAAGGATTCTCAGTAGTATTTAAGAAGCAAACTCACCTGGCATCCGCCTCGTCCCAGGCACTGTACATATCGCTCACTTCGTTCTTCAGGTGCTTGTGGAACTCCTGTTCCGCGGACATCAACGATTGGACATCCCAGGCTCCCGGTGTAGAGGTGGCTGATGTCGCAGTGGAGACGTCTCCTGTGGCCATTGTGGCCTCAACCTGGTTGCCGTTGCTGTCGGTCACTGTGATGGCCACCGCCTGCTTCTCCTTCTCACTCTCCCTTTTCTCGCCCAGTGGTGTTTCTTGCTTCAGTTGCTGTTCGGACTCCTGATGCTGATGTTGCTCCTCCAAGGCGCTCTGCAGACGCCGCTCTTGCCTGGTTAGCCAGCTGTGGACTGAGGCGTTAAGGCGGAGCATGTTGGTCCTGTAACTAGACAGCTGTGCTTGCTCCAACTGCGGGTTATACACATCAAGATTAGTTGGAGTTGGTGGGGCATAGACTCTTCACTCACCTTGAGAGCCTCCACGGATATCTGGATGGCTGGCTCCGTGTCGAGCAGCTCAGGCGTGGGCTTGTCACCTAGTCGCTGCAGCGAGTGCTTCAAGGCGCTCATCTCCTGCTGCAGTTTACGGGCAGCCGAGGCATTCTCGCTCCAGCCCAGCAGATCCTCCCAGGCGGCGAGAAGGTCTGGAAAAGAGAACAAAAAATGGGGGGATTCAGGATGAGGTTGGTTAGGTGCAGGAGGTTATTTTCGGCGGAGTTAACCCATAACTAAAGTGGTGCTCGTGTCGGGAGAAAGGCAAATTTAATTGGATGTCTTAGTCTTGGTCTCATTTCCATTTACGTCTCCATCCTATTCCCATTTACAGACTCATTCCTCTTCGGTACGAGCCCTTGGTAATGAATACCTTTCTCTAAGCGCTAGAAAATCACAACAGAAAGTGAAACTCTGGGGCCGCGGAAAATCAACAACAACAAGAACTTAAAAGTTTGCTATCGCCTCTTTGCGGGTTTTGTTGTGGGGGCCACCCCGTCAGCCAAAAATTTTCGAATTGAAATGGTTTACTTTAGACTGCATTTAGTGGAGGTTCCCTTCCTCTTCCTCTGCCACACACACCTTTTCCTGCCTCTGTTTTCGCTTTGTCCCCACATGGAATGCTCGCTATGTGGGCTGGGATCGGCTGCAGATGGGTTCGGATTCTGATTCTGCATCGAACGTTGGGCGGACTGGAACCAGAACCAGAATCGAACAAAAGAAAAGCTCAGCCAGCGAAATAGGAGCCAGTGATGAATAAAACCTTATATTTCAGCTAGTCGACAAGGAAATACCTACTATTAAGACTTCTCTAGAAATAATTTAAAATATATGATTATATACAAAGTCCATTTTAATTTCCTAAAGCTCTTTAAAGATGACGAGGATACTTGCAAACCACACCCCATAATAACTTTAAACAAAGATTTTATCCCCTACACTTTAAGATAAATCTCTGACCAATAACCACTCACCCTCGATCAGCAGGAGTTTTCAGCTTTTCCTGAGGTTACCACTTCTTTGTTGGAGTTTTCCGACAAGACCTCACGCACGGTTGGGTAATTGAAATGCAATGCGTAATGCAAGTTTTACACAAATTACTTTCACCTTGCAACTAGCCAAAATCTGTGTTTTCATTTGCTTTTTCTTCTCTTTTTTAAGGTTTTAACGCACTTGGGATAAAATATAACTTAACCGAACCGAACTTGTTGGCAGCCAAACCGAAACTGGTTGAGTGAACTTCAGAGTGCCAGCTGCAACACAGCTTCGAAGCGCGACTCGGATCGGGGATTTGGCTTTTGGTGCCAAGCGTGGCTCGGATCGGAGTAGCTCCAGCCTACAAGACCAAGTGGAGCGCAACCAATGCGATCGAAATGGATGAACACAAAGGGGGTGCTTCGAAGAGGATTCCAGATGTGTTTACGTGCTTGCCCAAGTGGGTGAATTTTTAATTTTTGTGATAACTTGGCTTACGTTAATTCAACAAGATTCGTTGTCAAAAATACCAAAAAATGTAGAACATAATGATATTGTAAGGACCTTTTTGGTTTTAAATATAAACATAAAGTTGGTCAAGCGACCCTAATTTCTTAATTTTACTTAATTTCTGGTTTAATATTCCATTAATACCTCGATTTATTCCAGTGTAATCACAGCTTACGCACTTGGTTGCGTTTGGTTGGGATCTGGTTCGAAGCAAGTTCGAGCCAAAAGCTGAAGTTGCTCGGCGCAAATGCGATCGGATTTTGATTGGAACCGGGGATGGAGGCTTGGACTCGACTCCACCTGCTTTCCGACAGATATTGAATAATCTTCGCTAGATAATGGGTCGACAGCCGCAAAAAGTACACATACAATTGATTAGCCATTAACTTGGCTAAGTGAGGAAGGAGATTATTGGCAAGACTTTCTCTTCGCGATAATCAAACAGCATGAACACAGCTCATATCTCGGCTCTGAAAATTAATTAAGCTGCCAGCGGGGTAGTCCCCCCACCACTGCATTATTTTAATTTCAGTTGAAAATATGTTTATTTTCTCCTCTTGGCCAGTTCGGGGCTTCTTCTCCGCTGACATGCAAATGTGGCAGGCGTGCTTATTGGCGCTATTTGCCGTTCATTTCGTCATGATAGCTGCTGAAGGCAAATAGCTGACGAAAAGTGCAGAGACCGCAACGTGGGGAGTAGGATGAGTTCGAACCAAGGTCGTTGACGTCGGCTGCAGCCATGAGAATATTTTTTTTACTCGAGAGTGTGTGGGAGAACCATCGACGAGAGAGAGAGAGTACAGAATTGGCATACAATAAACACTGCAGTTAACACAAATTATTGTGTTGTTTTTTACGCCACTGAACTGATTGCAAAAACTAGAAAATATAACAAACTTCGAGAAGCTGAAGTTTGTATACCCTTGCCAAAGGACAAGCACGACTAAATACCTTGCAAGGGTATAATAAAGATGAGAACATGGAGGAGGAACGTAAGTAATTTAGAACATACTGGATAAACTAGACATATTTAGTGAATCCCCCTACTTCTATTCATTAACTCCCTTGCAGGGTATTTTACGATCCAATAGGAAAGGGTACAGGGACTTTGGTTTTCCATTCTTGATTATCCCTATATAGCTTCTATTTTTATAGTAATCACTTATTTTGCCTTAACCCAAAATAGAGCACTCTGACTGCAATTTAATTTATTATTCCACTCGCCCTGTGATTGTGTGCAAGAAGGATACACACTCCCCAAGGAATGTCGTGACAAGGAACCATGAGAAACCAAAAAAAGGTGTGTTCTAGATACGTTAAATTTAGAAATACCTATACCCTAACTGAAATTACTATAATATTCCCTTTTTTAGATAAAGAAAAGCAAATCAAGCTAGCAGGTGAGGTAAGCAAAGAGACAACAGAGGCAACCGCCAAAATTAGAAAAACAAAACATAAGCGGTCAGTGGCTGACCTAAGGCACAGCTCAAAATATTTGCCAAATTAATCTTGAATAATTATAAACCAAAAAATGCTAGAAGCTTGTGTGTGTGTGTGTGAGGCAAACAATTATAGATAATTACCAAAAATATACATAGGAACGACATTGCTGGATATTTTTAAGCTGTGATTAGAGAGAGAGGAAAATAGCAAACGAGAAAAATTATCACCAAGATGCTAAATTTCTAAAAACGCTAAAGATGTTGAAAATGTGAATGGAAATCGGCTGGCATTAACTCAGAGTCTTTCTGCACGAACGAGCTAATAAATCTCCCGCTTCCAGCAGTAAATCCACAAACGGAAATTGCCTAGCAAATGTAAATGGGAATGAAAATGGCCATGTTACCTCAGAGGAGGTTCCCCCTCAGCGGTTCCGGCCGAAGCAGGTTCAATGCCCTTTCCGCAGTGGAAAGCCATCCGCATCTAGGGGCAACCTAAGTCGCTCCAATCATCCAATCGATTTGATCCCGTTTAGAGAAGTAGAAACACTTCTAACTCCACAGCTCCAATCAAGCGAAGGTCAACCACAAATGGAGCAGAGGCAGCCGCCGATCGATAGATCTATAATTAATGCTCTCTGCCGCCGAATGACAACTGAAAACTTGAACTTAGCCGACTTTTATGAGGTAATTGAGCAACCGGTTCCGTCATTTCTCTCGCCGCTCGCTCCAAAGGAAAACTTTAAAGACGAATGCTACTATGTATGCCATAAAGAGTTATTCATTGGCAGTGCTTACTGTTCGCTGTGCCGTTTACCGTTAATTAGCGGCAAGACAGGGGCAGCGAGGCTTGACGGTACAGTGAGCACCGGCTAACCCTAATTAGTTAGCAAAGCAATCCCGATTTGGTAGACTACCAAGTGCAAAAGTCGATCACTATGTCTGCCGGAATTAAGAATCGTCGGGAAAAGAGCCGGGAATCAGCGAAGCTTGATTCTTGGCCATCAACTCGAGATTCTTTATTGGGGTTTTTATGAGAGTCACATTGCTAGCGGATCTAAGATTGGAGAATAGATCGTCGATCTTCAGTCAAGTGGCGGATTTATGATCTGAAACATTGCTGTGCTGCTGCTGCTTTTCGTTGGATTCCTCCGAATGTTGGGGTAATGCAGAGTATCAAGTACCAAAGACTCTTAACAATTCAAGAGGGTAACCCATTTCGGCTATTTATTCTGTGCCCCACCAGAACTTTAGATGGAATCAAATATTATGAAGGGTGTATAACTTTACACTTAGTCTTATAGTTTTTTCCCTACGATAACTTATATTAGAATGAATTGAGAAAATAATAAAATAGTTGATTATCCCTTTATAAATGTAACGTTTGTTTTATACTTTCTATACTAGCTAAAGATCTGTGCAGTTATCCCTTTTCCTATCAATTTGCTTAGATTTCATTGGAGCTTTCCTATTAGCCCTTTTAAAACGGTTTCTATTACAGCTTAGTACCTACAAATTTCTAGGTATTATCTCCCGCATTCCACTAATTGCCAGCACACCTTTTCCCCGATCCCCTCGACTTTTGTCCCCTTTCCCCCAACTATACCTTTGCGACTCAATTTGCTCTGCTCGTTTTCACTCTTATCGCACTGTGCGATCTAGTCAGGGCCTCCGCATCTTACCTGGCCCCGCCGCACACTCGCTTTACACCTGTTTCCCAATTATGTTTACCAGGCCAGCACATCATCTATCTCTCGGCCCCTACTTGGCACATATCTGCTCGGAAGAGTGAGTACTGGAGAGTGTTTGGCTTTGCCATTGTTGGCTGCTCGGCTGCTTGGCTGCTTGGATGGATGGATGGTTTAATGGCTTAGAGTGTTTGTGTTTACCTTGTTCCGATGACGAGCGCGATGTGGTGGTGGAAGAGGTGGCCGAGAGCATCTCGGAAATATCCGTTTGGACGGCCACGCTGACTTTCCCCATGATGGTCGGCGGAGTTTTCTACCCTTGGCCGTCAGGAAAATTCGGAAAATGGGAGGAAAAGCTCTCGCTCGTGCTCTCACTCTCGCTCTCCTTTAGGGTGACCCACTTCTTTACCCATAAGCGCCACTTGAAATCAATTTTTGTAAGCGAATTTGTGTTTTGAAAGATTTTCCATTTCTACACACACAACACACAAACAACAGAGCGCGGCGAGATTATGGGAATTTTCCCAGTGAGTTGAGCAATGCTGCATTGAAATGTGATTTGCGACCTCAATAAGTTCAAGGAAAACTATCGCGAAACTCTTATATAGGGAAACCTCAAACTCTTATACGAAAAGCACGCGACATTGGATTCATGAATGGCAGATGTTTTGAGCCTTCGGTGGTGTGCTTAAGTACGTTTAGAGAGAGCTTAGTTATGAATTTATCACAGTTATTTTTGGTGGAATTATGCGGCAATCTCGCAGGCTTATTTCGCACAATTTCGCGGAAGCACGTTAAGAGTTAATTACACGACAGCAGACAGTCGGCGGAGGAGGAGGAGGAACCACAAGCGGGAAACGACCCGCTTGGAACGCGCGCAGAAAATAAACTGAGAGATGTGCAGAGCGACGACTGCCTCAGCGGAGACAGCTGAGAACCGAAAGTCGAGAGCCACGGGCGAAAAAGCGCCGAAACAGGGAGGCAAGAGCTGAGAAGCACAGAGGCAGAGAGGAAGAGAGGAAGAGAGCCAGAGGGCAGCAGCAACGTGCTCGCTAGCTCAGTTACATTTACTCTATTTGTTTTTAAAACAGCTAAGTTTTACACAGCTCCGAAAGCTGAACAACTAATTTAAAACATATTCCCATCACCATTTACGTCTTGTAAAGTAAACAAAATAAATTCCACAATGTGAAAATATTTTAAAGAAATCGTTTGAAATTTATAGTATTCAAAAAACAATCAAAGAAAACTGCTACAACCAATATGGAAATCCCATTTTTTTAAAGAATATTTAAATGCAAAAAAACAAAAAAAACTATTCTATAATCAATTAAAAATATATACTAAATAAATTACCTAGCATTTTTGCTGTGTGTATCAAAATACATATACATATCACAAGAACTGAGAGAAGCTAACACGCAAACATCCGAATGAGAGAACTCTTAATGACAGAACTTTTGAACTTGGCTTCGTCACTCCTAATCTCTAAAAAAAAAACACCTATACTATATATATATGTATATAAATATACAAAAACATAAATATATATACATATGAGGCATTTGAGGGTCCGCTCATTAGATTCGGCGGTAAATTCAAGGCCAAGCCGCTGTAGCAACACCAAAGACAATATATAAAAAAAACGACGTCATTTCGAATGAAAGAAAATACAGAAACAGAAAACCAGACCAGACAACAATGAAAAAGCTAAAGAGATGACGACACAGGCAAAAACAACTCAAAGAAAGCTAAAGCCACAGTTTGGTAAGCACTACCAAGGCGCCACCTAGTGGAATATGGACTAACCCTGCAAAACTGTAGTTGGAGAGGCTCTGTGACTAGCTTAAGTAAAACTTTAGTTAAAATTTTAATTCAAAACATTTCACCGTACCTCCCGTATTGCAAAAACAACCCTCGCTTGTATAAATTAATTTCCCAGCAAGTCATCACATTTGTTTATAAATATTACCCACAGAGGAGTGTGACGTCAGCGGGCTAAAATACATTTGCTCTTGGTCGGGGTCAGAATCTTTGCAGCTGGCTAAAGTGGTTTATACCTATATACCTAAAAGCGTATTAAGCAGATTTATTGGACATTTCGGAAAAGACTTCAAAGAATGTGGAAAATTTGTATGAAAATGCTAATGTTTATATATCGTAACTATACCAAACAAAAGGGAAGTGGATAAAAAATAAATTTCGACACAGTGCTTGCTAAAGTTTATCATGGACTCAAACCTCTAGTTGGGGACATGGTGTAAAATTTAGAGTTTAACCCACTTGAAGTCTCCAATGTAGGATAGTTTTTGCTTCTTAGTTTTGTATCACAAGAATTGAGATCTGGGAGTTAATCCCTGGTTTAAAGAATCTTAAACCCCCTTCTCTTAAAAAAGTAGATATTCACTAAACTTTCACTTTGTGTCAGGTTATGGGAATTAAATATTAAGAGACTGCGTCAGTCGGTTTAAAAAGCAGTTACTGCTGTAAAGTGTAAATTAAATGCTTAAATCTAGGGATATTTATTTTAGATAAATATTATATGCTCGCTCAGTTCGATCGAGTCGTGTGCAAACCATTACCGCTTCTGGGTCGGGATCGAGGTTAGTGCTAGACTAGGATGAGAGCGCAACAGAAACTCAAAGCAATTAAACAAAAGACAACGTTAAAGAATGACCGATTAAGAGAATTAAATTTTGTTAATACATTTGACAAGAGTACACATATTATCATTAGCGGAGCATTACATGGAGTTACAAAGTTATATAATCATGACAGAATGACAACGAAACAAAACACCAAAATAAAACTAATCACGGGACAACAGACAAACGCAATTGCTGATAATTATAACAATTTTAGTTTTGCTTTTGGTGTTTTCAAATTTTATTTTGCCAAAAATGAATAAGAGTAAAGAGAAACAAAAATGCGCAAGAGAAAAAATAATGGAAGTAGAACAGAAATAGAGTAAAATAAAATTATTTAAAATAATAATAATAAATACAAAATCGAATCGAACAGACAGAATATAAACGGAGGATGATTGGATGATGAGTGTAAATTCGATGCGAAATGCGTTTTGTCAAATGCAAAAACAAAATCCTTCATAGGTCATACATTATATGCGTTTAAAGATCTAGTATTTGTATAGCGAAAGGCATCCGGTAGTAATACATGCTTAAAGCTTTCATTCTGTTCTGTGTGTTCAGCCTGGGCTCACAACAGCCCGCGGAGGCCGCCAAAGAACCGATCCAGGCGACCGCCCACGGGCCGGTTGACCAGCTCGTAGAGGGACCTCAGCGTGCCCGCCAGGAACCTATAAAGCGCAAAGTGCTGCAGCATGTTGCCCACGTCCAGCACGAACTCGATTACCCGCGCCACGAAGCGCGTAATGGGTGCACACTGGCACTCGGCCCTGGCCATCTGCAAGTGCATCCCGAGCGGGAGGCTACCTGCCTCCACAGGAGCAGTGGTGGCCAGGTGCAGCTCGAACTCGGGCCGGTGCCGACGGCGTCGTCGGAGACCGCTGGCCACTGACGATGCTGATGGCTTGCGTGGTTGAGGTGGAGGTGGAGGCTGAGACTCACCTTTAGTCTGGCCAGCGCAGTGATTGGACAGCACGGTGCCGGGTGGACCGTGGAGCACGGCCTCCAGGCAGCGGATGTTGTCGCGGCAAGTGTTGATGATCTCGTTCTGGTCGGGGAATGGAAATGAGCACAAAGTAGGCATAAGCTGGCACAGGTCACTTACATAATCCTCTGGCCTAAGCAGATGGCATCGGATCTTCAGGGCTCTGGTGTCGTCCAGCCGGTCGCGACTCTGCTGCAGCAGGGAGCGCATCTCATGCTCACCGTCCTCGGAGTCAGAGCCGCTCGATGACGACGTGGTGGCCGGTATCAGCTTGATGCACTTCTCCAGGTTGCGTGAGGAGCGCCTCCGCTCGTCGGCCGTCACAGTGCGTCGCCGACGGGTCGAGGTGTCGCTTTCGGAGGTTCGACGCAGCAGGGACTGAGCAGAGTGGCTCATGCCACCGAACTCCAGCTTGCGACCCACGGACTCTGTCCGCTGGCCAAGGTGCTGGGTGGACTGGGTCTTGGGCGTGGTGGTCATTAGGGCCGTGGCGGAGGCAGACAGCGAGGGCTGGGCCTGCAGTTGCTGCGACTGTTGCTGCTGCTGCTCCTTCTGAGCTGTATTGGCCAAGGTAGATTCATCCATGTCTGTAAGAGTGACGAATACACTTTTAGATTAAGCAATTCCCTTGGGGCACCTAGGCTACCCACCTTGACAAGACTTGCGCCTGACCTCGAGGGTCTTGCGCCGACGTTCGTACTGCAGTTCAAGGGCGCGCTGGCGACGGGCGTGATCCACGCTACTGCTGATCGTGTCCTGGTTGATATGAAGCGGCTTCACCTCGTGCTTCTGCAGCGAGTCCATGCGCGGCGGCGAGAACGAGTCCAGATTGTTGGCTGCCGACAGGGAACTGCAGCAGTCCGACTGCGAGTCGATGAAATTGCTGTGGGATGGACGGATGGGTTGCATTGCATTTTGAGCGGTTATAAATAGCTTTTGGCACGGCCTCAAAGGTCGCACTCATCATTATAATAACGAAGACGCACGACACTCACCGATAGTCATCGCCGAATTCCAAGAGACGACGGGCGGCATCCGAATCAAAGCCCTCGGAATAGTTCTCCGAGTTGTATTTCTCTTGGTAGTTGTCCCAGGCCGTCTCTGAGATGCTGCTGTGATGGTCCTCGGTGCTGAGTTCTGTGCGGGATTATTATGGGAACTATTAGGATCTGGCAATGCTTAGATTTCAGGAGGGATTTCTCTATAAGATATCCTTGGGTGGGATTTTTCTTAGAGCTGCTTGAGGTGCATAGGTAATACCTTTGAGCCTGGTCTGTGCCGGCTTGGGTGCTTGTGTTTGAGAAAAACAGACAGAGATAGAGTCGAGATCGAGTAGAAAGAAGCTAAGCATAATGAGATCCCCTCAAGGAATCCCCACTCACCTGCTTGCTGTTCGTCCTCGTTCATGTAGTTGGAAAGGGCGGCTAAAGCGCCCAGGCGCGTCTCACTGGCCAGCAGGCCCGCGGTGGTGAAGGATCCTACCCGGAACTTGGGCAGCATCAGCTGCGATTCCCCTGCCTCGTCCTCCGCCAAAATAGTTACTCCAAGATGCTCTCCCCCCTTGGGACTCAAGGGAGCAATGGCTGCGCCCTTCTGGATGCTCAGCAAGGCATTGGTGAACTCCTGCAGCTGCTGTGACGACATGGACTCGCACGACTTCATCAGGGTTTGGGTGAGATCGCCACCCAGCTCTGAGCCCGAGTCAGACTTTCTGCCAGCCGACGCCGCTGAAATGCGCTTCTTCCTGGCCTTCCGCCGCCTTAGGGAGCCCTTGCTGTCCGCTTTCCTGGCTGCATTGCTTCCCGTTCCCGACGAAGAAGCAGCTCGAGGTCTGGGACCCGGCGAAAGCGAATCCAAGGCGCTCTCACTGATCGAGTGGCTGGCCAGTCCCGGCGGGGAGTTCTCCACAATCCGGGCTGTGGTCATCTGGGCCGCATCCGTCGTCAGCTGCGACAGGCACGAGACGGACCAGGGTCTCTCCGACTTGCGACGCGACTGCTGCCGTTTCACAATCTTCACGTTCAGGCTCTGATTGCTGCTCCCGAAGCCCAAAGGCGTCACGGGCTGTCCAATGGGCTCGGCGGATCCGCCAATTCTCTCCGTGGAATTCCCATAGGAATTCGTGCTCGTTTGCATACAGGTGGCAATGGAATCGGTGAATCCCTCCGAGGTGTCCGACCCGGCAGCTCCTCCAGCCGCTCCTCCACCAGCTCCTGCGCCGCTGGTCTGGGGCACCGAGTCCGTTTCGGAAGCCTCGCCGGATGCCTCGCAGTCATCGGGCTTGCTTCCCGGAAGGAGTTCGTGCGTGTGGCTGCGGCTCAGCAGCTGCGGTGTCGAAGGTTGATGCTCCAGCCATTCCTAGGGAACAGATCGGGTTAATTAGGTGCTCTGTTTCGGAGATGTATCCTGTTTTCTACAGAAAATATGCGCAACAACGTCGTTTCCTTGCCTAATGTCACATGAGCTCCCAAAGATATCAGATTACAGCTCATGTTTTCTCTGAGTCAAACGACTATCATTGTTATGGATATTTTTGCAAATGGTTCATAGGATTAAAAACAAAATAAAGGCAAAGGACTTACCTCCACGCGCTGCTTGATGGGATGCGGCATGGTGACCTCGCGCTTCTTCACCGTCGACGAGATCTTAATGATGGAATGTTTCTGCTTCGTTGGCGTCTTCAGAGCCGCTTCTTGGGCGTCGCGCACCAAATGCTCTGCCTCCAGTACCAACTGCTTGATTGAATCATGCGAGACCTTGCCCTGGGCGAAGAGAGAGGAGAGAGTGCAGAGAAAATGAAAAGTAAGAAAATGTTTGCAGAGGGAGAGAGAGCGGAACTTAATGAGCGAGCCGAATCGGAATCGGAGCCGTAGTCACAGTCTGTATTGCTGAAGTCATAAACTTGTGACTAAGTCTACAGTCCAGCTTCGCTCATATGAACTTATTTTATTCGATTAAAAGTATTGTTTCCTTTTAAGACAAAACTTTCACTTTAATTTTCAGTCAACTTGAAACAAAATACTAATATTCAGATAATGTTTTCGATATGCTTAACTTAAACTGAAATGGTAGCTCTTAAAAACCTCTTGATTTGAGCTAGTTCCACTTCTGACTGAATAGGAAGTGCAGCGCGAGAGGGAGCTCGCTCTTCTCTTATCAGTGAGGGGGTGCAGTGCATGGCAGTGCATGTTTTCCCTTATCGCTGGAAACTCTCATTCTCCCAGCTCTGCCGCCACTTATCGCAATTTGTCACCCATTTCCAGTGCTCTTCAACGTCATTACTGCCGAGTGGATTTGAATGGATTGCCAAGAGGGGGATCAAGTGGAGTGGAGTGGAGTACCCAGGATGGGGCAGTAGAGAGGAGTAATAATAGCATATAGAGAATATGGTACATAGAGGGTACACACCACCTTATCTCTTATCTTGTGCATTTCTGTTTATTCTGCTCGCCCACTCACTACCTGTTATTATTTTTGCACAACTTTTTCACACTCATCAATCAAGTAAGTGGGTTGCTCACGAGGAGGAATGATGACAAAAGAAATTATTTTCAGGGACCATTACTTATATTTTAGGCAGAACTTTGAGTTGAGTAACTGCAGTTATCAGGCAGTGTTTGCCTGGTAAGGAAACAACCCGAACTAGGCTTCTATATATTACCTATTATTCTATTATCTTTGACCTGTAAGAACTGCCAAAAATAGACTTTCTTATGTAGTCTAAAAACCTTATATGGAAACTACTCGCTTTGGTGGTTTTCTACCGCCAGAGAGGGAGAGACTCCCCACTTGAAATGATAATTCGACAAAATCAGATCTTTGGGTAAACATGATTTCTCGCTCTTGTCACTAAATGCCTCCTCCTGACTGCCAATCAATCACTGAAGCGTGGCTAATTATTCCATTACAATTACGAAATCCCATTGTCTTTTTCGGGCTTACTTTGGTCAATTGAACAATTTGAAGGCTTTTCTTATCGGGTAGCTGAGCTGTGACAGATGTCGCGCACTGTCCACGGCGTATCTTTGCATCTTCCACTGACTTTCAGCTGTGTGTCTGTTTTTATCACTTCTTTTTTCGTCCAAAAACGCGCTCTGGCCGTCACTGGATGGTTAATCTTTGGCTTAATTTAATTAACAACTTCCTGCGGCAACGGCGGAGGCACGCGATCGGAGGCGAGGCCAGGTTTGGCAGCCACTGGCCGGCCACAGTCACTGACAAAAAACGGAAACAATTTTCTAATGCTTTTACTTTGTTCGCTCGCAGTTTGCAGTTTGCAGTTTGCAGATTGCAGCTTTGCTGTTTACAGTTGCGATTGGGCGTTAGCGATAATTAAAGGCAATTATTAATGCGAGTGCGGACGCGCCGGGATGCCAATTAAGGCCCAAAACTGGAAAGCGCGGCCTCCAGATACAGATATACACGCATGCAGATACAGATACAAGTTCAGCTCCTTGGTAGGGGTATCAGTGCCTCGCAAACTGTCAACGCTACTTGACTCTCTGACTTGGCTTTCGGGTTTCTATTTCTGTTTTTTACCCGCACGCAATGGTTTTTTGTTAATAGCTTAAGCCTTTTTCAGACAGGGAGATTCAGGTCAACACAACTGGTGATTGACCAGTTTTGAATACGGCTTAAATTCTATTATTTTACCCTTACTTTTATCGCTTTGTCTGGGCCATTCGATTGATTTAAATGCTCACTGATTTTGGGTAACGGCAGCTATTACAAGTAATTAATGTGGCTAAAGTGTACATTTTTTATTTAATCGCAGTTTTAATGTGATTGCAACCAGTTTGGCAGCCACTGCTGGAGATCACTTCACTCTGGCTAATTTATTTATTGCATTTTACTCATTTTAATGAGCTTTGCAGCCGCGTTTACTGTTGCTTGTGTACTTGTTGTATTTTCTATTTATTTAATGCAAATTTCGCAAGCACTACGAACACATTTCGCTCTCCAGCCATTGTTGTTTTAGCAATTGTTTGTCGGTTGGCTAGTTATTTTATTCACTGTTTGCCTTTGCCTTTTGCCATTATCTTGGCAAGTCCGCTCCCCGATTTTGGTCCGTCCGTCGGCCCCGGCTTTGCGAATCACACTGAGTAGTGGAGGGGCTAACGCTCTGGAGTGCACCAACACTCTGCCGGCTCTGGCTATGTAGTCGTCAGTCGCCGGCTGGCTTGTCAGATTGCTCAGAGGCACAACGGTTGCCATAAAGCGAATTAAAATAAACTGTCGAATCGCAATGCGTTTGATAATAGCTCTGCGACGGCGGCGAGGGGGGAACTAAATAGGATGGGGCGGACGGATAGGCTGATAAGATAACACACTCCGCAAATCGATTCGAAATCGGAGTCAGCGAGGGGAGCGAATTGATTTCTATTTCATTATTTTCCTTTCCTATACTATTTTTTTCGCTTTTGTTCGTATCTTTGCTAAACTATTTAATTTGCAAATGAATAAAATCATTTGTGTCCATCGATAAGATAAGTGAAGTGTTGTTATGGTAGGGAGATATACGTTATATATAATATTATATATACTTTGTAAGTTATATTAGAGCAGGTATTTGTCAACAATATATAGATAAATCTTTTTAAATCACCTTTAAAATTTAAAGTAATTAATAATATTTTTTACTCTCTGTTATTAGGTATTAAGTGCACTTATAGCGTAATTTTCTTACTTTGCTTGCTTTATGGGTATAATTTCTTTGCTTTAAATGGCAATTCATAAAACTCATGTTTGATTATCTTATCGATAAATGATAAATGCACTTGTCTATCAGTTTGTAATGTCTGCCATTTATTTATTGTGGCTTTCTCGACCGTCACTCTTTTGGCTCTTAAATGTCGTTCGTTTCCTCGGACGCCTATCACTATTTGGAAGACTTTTAATTCGCGATTCAAAACAAAAAGCATGCGTGTCAGTCGATAAGATATATATAATTTAACTCACAGTGCGATCTTAATGCAATTTTTATATATTGAGCGACGTCATGCCGCTTTTCGTTATCGTTGAAATCAGTTTTTGGTTTCGTCGACTTGATATATCGGTTTTGGTTTTTTTAGGGGTTCAGTGTCTCAGGATCGGGTTCAGGTTTGAGTTGCGAAAATGTAAAATTTGTCAAAATTAATCAAAGCTACGCGGGATTTCACTCTCAATAAATCAACGAACGCGCGCATGCGTAGCAGCGCTGGAACTAGGGAAAACCGCTGCCTGCCCTCGGCCTGGAGGAAAATGACAGTGAAAATTGCGTGCGACAGCTGCCGCTGCTGCTGCTGCTGCTGCGAAATGCAAATGAAACTGCGAAAATGCACAAACATGTTCCGTCGCTCGCTGACCAAGGAAAGTGAGAGTGAGTGCCAGACACACGCTGCCCAGGGAGACGTTGATAGGCGGCGACAAATGATGGGAGCACCGCGGAGCCCGAGACCACTGATACGCACTCCTCCTGGCTGCGGGTTTCCCACACCTCCACATCCAGAGCTCGCATTACACTCGATTACGCTCAGCAAGTTGTCAGAGTCGCATGTTTTACCACCGCTTTTACACGCACAAAAAGGCGACCACAAAATCCCAGTTGGGTGAAATTCGATGCGACGCACGCAAACAGCTAAATCAAAAGCGAATGGACATGGTAGTGGGAGTGGAAGTGGAAGTGGAACTGGGAGTGGACCACCAGCAAAGATCGATTAGAGATTAGAGGCCAACGATCGATATTCACATCTCCCAGATTCATAATCGAAAAAAGAAGGGGAATAATTGGCCAAGAACTCTAGATCATTTATCGCATTTGAATTGGAAGTCTATGGAGATGAGAAAGCTTTAACTAAGTTTGTATAAATATCCGAAAGAAGTATGGAAACTCTCTATAAAAGTGACTTGAAGAGGTAACAAGTACTTTAGGTTGAATATTGTTCAACCTGTAATTTGTTTATATAAAGTAAAGATCGTCAAACTTTTTCTTGATCATTAAGTCATTGAATATCCTAGAGTCAAAAAAGATAATCCCAGGCATTAATCAATCTTTGGACCAAAAAACCCGAACTTCCTCTACTAAAGACTCCTGGGTTAATGTCTCTTGCGACGGAAGTGAAACTTCCTTCTTCTCCATATAATATAAATATATATGTATATTATGACTTACCTTGGCGGGCGAAGCGGACATGGTGGCGTTGCTGCTGCTGGCCTGGGATTTGGAGGACTTGACCGACTTGGCTGGGGATCTGGGAGGCAAGTGACAACTGGTTACAGTTTCTGCTGGCCAAACGCTGATGTTGCAGATGTCCGCACGGCTGTAGAAGCTGTTGTTCATCTGGGGAAAATGGAAAGGAAGGACTCAGTATTTTATGTAGAACAAATATTATTTAAAGATAGATTTGTCAAATAATAATGTGATTCATTAATCTTTCTACAACATCTTTCCCTGTTGTCCCTTTCAATTGTTTCGTTTTATTTCGCGTCACGTGGAGCGCTCGGCTCAGGCTTCTTTTCATTTGCCTTCAATGAAGAAATAAATCACACGTTTCCCAAGTTAATTTCGTACTTTCCCATTTTTGACGTGCTCCGCGGCGATCGTTTTTCCTGGACCACGACATCATGCCATGTCTCTCGCGGTAGTCATCGATCGAGGGGCTAAGGCTCAAACTCAGTGTTCCAGCCAGCCCCAGTCTCCGGTCCCGAATCCGTGGTCTCAATCTCTAGGCTCACCTGGTATTCAGTCCCGTTGCGAGCGACAGGAGTAGTCGGTGCATGATTCGCTTTCATTAACCCAACTGCTTAATCATCCGCGAGGTTTTCCATTTATTGAAAATGCCTCCTCCCAGGCCCGATCCCTCTCCTGCCAATCCCCCTCGCTGTACCTGCTCTCGACCAACTCCTTGGCACGGAGTTACGGCAAACAAAACGATTTTATTGACACAAGTCACAGACATGGCCACTAGACTTGAGCACTTGGCACTTGACTGACTGTGGGAACTTGTCCAATAGTCGACCGGGGAACGGACTTCAGCAAGTGCTCCACAAATGGCGGCGACTCCGATCTGAAGTGGATCTGACCGCATTGCTTCCTCAGAGAGCTGCTAGACAGCCAAGGGATGCTTCTCAGTATGCGACTCTTTAGAGGTTCTATTAAATTGTGTGTTTACTTGAATGTTTCGAGTGATCCATCATATAGTTCAAAGAGAGACCTTGTGCTTATCTTAATCTTCTTTTCCTCTCGTTTTATACGCATTGCTTATAATTATCTTATTCTTTATAAATAGTAAACCCTATTATTTCATCCCATTTGCTGCAATCGCACACTCACCTGTTGCAATTTGCCGAGATTTCCATTTGCCATATCAACAGTTGTCTCATCGACGCCCAGATCCTCTCCAGCCTCGCCCTCGTTGTTGTTTTGCTGCTGCTTGTTGCTGTAGCTGTTGTTGCTAATGATGTGTCTGGTGCTGTTGGTCCCATCGCTGACAGTGCCATTGCCATTGATTTGGAACTCCATCTCGCCTTCCATCTGCGAGTGTATCTGCATCTGCAGCTGAGTGACTCGCGAGGTGGCCGAGGTCTCGGTGTGCCTGCCGTTGGAGTTGGAGTTTGAGGAGGAGCAGGCGCTGCTGCTGTCGTAGTTGCTAGTTGTGGCTGTTGCTGCTACTGTAATGGTCGTGGTGGTGACTCCGCCAGACTCCTTGTTCTCCTTATCCGAGTCGTCGCTGGGCGGCAGTTTTCCACCCGTGGTAACCGTGGTCGAGGAAATGGCCGTCGACTGTAGACCATCTACAATGGAAATGCCTGATGCTGTTCCTGTTGCCAATGTCGTGGCAGTTGCAACTTCCAATGTTGCTGATGTAGCTGTCGCTGGTGCTGTAGTCGCCGTGTAGAGCCAACCCTCGTCTTCGTCATCCGTAGAGGCATCAGCCGATTTCAGTATCTAATATGGGAGGAAAGTGGCAGAGAGGGGGAAGGGAAAACGCAATGTAACATTAAAATCAGTGGTAACAAAATTTGCTAAAAGGAAAGCCCAACGGCGGAGGAAACTCCGATGAAGATGAAGTGGTAGAAAATGAAGTTTAATTAGCGTTACTTGCGCAAAATGGCAAATTGTTGCGCCTGCAACTCCAAGTTGCTGCTGCTTCGGCTGCGGCTGCTGCACATGAGCAACATCTTTGAAGCCCCGCTTTGCTTGCCGACAGCAACGCCTTCTCCATGACTTCTCCTTCCCATTCCTCTGGACTGGTCTTTGTCTTTGTCTTTCTGCTGGCAATTTATTTCCATTTCGAATGGTGACGACCTCAGCAGTTGTCAAATGTGGGAGGAAGAGTGAAGAATTGCTGGAGAAGGAGTGAAGAATTCTTAGCAGAAGGTGGAGTTGCAGTTGGTCTTGGAGTTGGAGATGTAGAAGAAGTCAAAGGCAGACAAACAAACAAATGTTGTCGAGTTAAGAAGAAAAAGGAAGATCGACATCTCCAACGCATTACTCTTACAGGAACAGTTCTGGAAACTGATGACATCGGGAATCTTCTTTATACTAACTCAATTTAAAGACCTTTTAATGGCCTTTTTGGACTCTTTTTATACCCTTGCTGAGCATAATAATTATAGTCAGAAGCTTGAAACGCTGTGAAGCAGTCAGTTTCAACCCTAAAATTCATATATATTCTTGATCAGCATCAACAGCCGAGTCAATGTAGCCATCTCTGGCTAAGAAAAATTATAAATAGTTTAAATATAGATTAAGATAAATGATTAATGATATAGTTGCTGACGATATTGTTTTAGTTGATGATGAAGACTACCGAATAATGGAATACAAAAGTTAATTAAGAAGTTGTTAGGCATGCCAAGAAACTATCAATACAATATAGATATATATGATCATAGATTTGTGAGTATATTCGGTTAGGTTACAAGACAGCGAAATAGCAAGCTATCATGCTAATTAGTTGGCCAGAAAATACTCAGGGAGAAGGGGGAAGAGAGACCGATTCCCAACTTGGCATTGATGAACGTGACCCCGACACCTTTTGAGTTTCCGATGGTTCCGAGCGTGGAACGAATCGTTGCCCCATGATGATTCGCCGACGACCCGTAACCGAGAGAGAATGATCGGTACTTACGTCGCCGCCAGCTCCTCGCCGACGGATCAGACAGGGATCTTCCTCGCTCTGGAGGTCACTGCCCGCCGCATTGCCCTGCTCGTTGTCCGTGTCCAAGTGCTTGAAGTAGAAGATGGCGCAGTTCTTGGACTTGCGATTGGAGCGGTTAAACTTGGAGGTGTCGTTGTGGTGATGACGAGTCTTCCTCAGTCCCAGCGGCGACTTGTTCAGCTCGTGGCCGCCGAGTCCTCCATAGCCATGGCCATGGCCATGACCATGACTGCTGTTCCCGCTGGTGTGCGAATTGGGCGTGATCACGGCCACAGCGATATTCTTGTTGTGCATCTTGTTGCCCAGATTGTGGTGGTGTCGCTGCTGCAGCAAGGCACTGCTGCTGCTGCAGTCGGCCTTCATGATATTGCCGTTCTGTGGCATCTCGGCTAGGTTTAGATTCAGGACCCTTCGGACACTGGTCGCTATCAGCGGCAATCCCCGCCGGCTCAGCTGCTGCACCTGCTCAAAGTCACTGCTCTCCGAGTCCGCTTCAAAGTCGGTCAGTGTGGCCGCTGCACTGGGACTGGCCTGGTGGTAATGGTGATTCACCTGTCTCCACGATCGCTTGGCGATCAGAAAGTCCACCACATCGGTGCCTAGAAGGTCGTCCTCTTCGTCTTCCTCCTCTAGCTCCTCGTCGGCCTCATCGCCGGGCTGAATGCAGGTCAAGGAGGGAGTCAAGGAGTGTTTGATGGTTATTGGGTCAGAAGAACGTTGAGTTCAAGGGTTGGGTTCAACACACGCACACACACATTTCGAACACTGCATGCTCTTCGAGTAAAAGCAACTTATATTGGCTTTGGAGTTCTGATTTGAAAAGGAATGCAAGGAGACAGTGCCAAAGAGGGTTATACAAATTTTGGTGGTTTCCTGACCTTTGCAGTATAAAGAAGACTTTTTTGGATTTACTTTTTAAAGATAGGTCGTCAGTGTAGTATTCTGTCGGTTATTCTTCATTTTGTTTGTTTTCTATTAAACCTATTCCTTGCTTGGTCATCATACCTTATCATATTCCAATATTGAATATGCATTTTAATACAATTTCAACCTTAATTTAAGCTCTATATTTGTTTGCCTTAAAACTTGTTATTTTTTTCTCTTGCTTCTGCCTCAAGATGATGACCAAAAGTTTGTAACATCATTAGCTAAGTATTCGGTTCTGCCGTTTATGGTTTGCTGGCTGGGTTAACGTTTCTTTTGAATTGTTCTGCTACTCGGGGTTAGCTGGAGCTGGGGTTTGGTGGGGTCAGGCCAGGAACTTGACAATATTGTGGGAGAAGGCATGCAACTAAGCTAACATCACAACAACGACAAAGTCATACAAACAAACAGCAAGTACATACAACATACGGAAGAATATGCAAATCATTCGGATTTGGCTTCAGATTCAAATTTGGTCGAGAGACTTACCTTTTGAGGTGCAAGACAATCGCGTGGCTGATCCGCTGACAGAGACTCCGACTCCGCTTGGGATTTGTTCTGGGACTCCTCCTTCCCGTCCAGGCCACATACAATTTGAGTGGCTGCTATCTGGCAGCGCTGCAGGATCAGCTCCGACTTGGATTCGCCGACCGGCAGGCTGTTCTCCAGATCCAGATCCGAGTTGACCTCGTTCAGATCGTCCTCGGTGGCTTCGCCCTCGTAGCCAAAGGAATCGTCTTCGGTGTCCTCCTCCTCTTCGTCGTCGTCATCCAGGCCATTCTGCAAGAAAGCAATGATGGAAAATTCAATAAAGCTGTGAATATGAGCCTCGATTTTTAATTGGCCGACATAATATCACTGTGTGATCTTGATGTTGGCTTGGGAAAGTCCGGTCTCCTTTTCGTTTGCTCTTCCTGGTTCCATCACGTAACACTTCCTCGTCTTCCTCCATATGCCGGCTAAAATTATAATTGCTTTCAATTGTCGACACACGAAGCTCTCGCCTCCGATCAGCGGGTGGACTTGGACATGGACACAGACACAGACACAGACGTAGACACAGAAACAGACAGACAGGGAGACAAATGGACAAACACTTGGCCAGACAGATGTCAGATACGCCAAGTGGCGAGAAAAACGTTTGTTTTTATACCCTACCCGAGACATAAGATTTTCGAGGGGTCTATAGGCAATATAATTAATTTTATATTCAGTTATTGAAAATAAAAAGGACGAGAATAAATTCATAGGTAAATTCATAGGTTAATCAAATAACGAAAAAGTAGTCTATCAAATTTACTAATCAATTCCCAACACCCTCTGATTGTAAGTGTATTCAAAGCATCACCACTTCCCTTGATTTTCCTTCTTACAAAATTTCTTTTCCTTTCTCGTGTCTCCGCCCACACACGCATAGAAATGAGTGGCGTTCGTTGGGTGTTAAAAAGAAGGCCTTGGTGGCTTTTCATAAAATATTTTGGCCTTTACCAGAACTGTTAAGGAAAGACTCGCCCCCTGGGCCAACCTCAAGTGACCTTGATACATCTCCGCTCCGAATTGCACTCTGCCAGCAATGTTTTCTTAGCACTTTATAAAATAAAACTAACAAAATTCCACAATTAACCCGCGAGACCTCACCCCTTTGACGATCAGCAATCAGACGGGGAATGGGAATGGCTTTTATGACCATCAGATGCTTTAGCTGGGCAATTTAGTGCTTGTTTTCGCTTTTCGCCTCCTCGGATTTGCGTAAGTTTGTTAATTTTGTTCATTCCGTTGGATCCGAACACATTCCATCGGAGGCCACCACACGCCGAAGGTCGCTCTAAACATCCGAAGCCGCTTGTTCTTCAAAGATGTATCCACCAGATTACGTAGAGCTAATTGTCCAGATGATTTATGGCCGAGGATGGTGCTCTCACCTCTTAAATGGCGCCTTTTCGATTGTTTGTGCTTATGGTAAACAGAGGAGGAGGCAGCCCCAGCTCCTGAGCTTTCAAGGGGAAAACTGTGTAAATGGACCAAGTGTTGTAAATAAACAGGGAAGTAAAAGGGGGACGAGTCAGCCATCAAAAGTGATGGCAGGTAAACAACAAACAAAGAGCTGGCTGGACTGGCGAAAAGGTATTTAAGGGACTTGCCCTGACTGGCACATCTTTCATAACAAAATGAAAAAAGCATTACAATTTGTTACAAAACAAATCGTATCTGCTTTGAATCAAAGAATCTGTTGATTACATACTAATTTGTATCTTTCCGTATCACATTCATCGGATCTCTGAAAGTTTTCCCTTTTCTCCATCTGATCTGGTTTCTGAGCTTTCTCCCAATTAGCATATCACCCGCATTTGGTGATGCAATCTCTGATGTCCCCAAACTTCTTATCCGTATTTCTACTCACACATTCATCTCAATCTGATCAAGCCCTCAACTACCAGAAACTAAATGGAAAACAAACTAAGTGGAAAACTCCGTTGACAAACGGTACAAATAGAGACAACACAGAAGAAGAAACTGATTAAGGAAATTCCCAAATAATCTTGTTATGCTTTTCGGCTTAAAGAATCAAAGAACCAAGACTACCCACAGTGTTAGATTTGTATTATTATTATTTCTGAGTAGGTAAAGGAAAAGGGAAAGACTTCTTTTAAGAAGACCTTTCTCCCTCCCTCCTCAGAGTGGTTCATTTACCAGGAATTTAAGTTCAAGGGAAGAACGTGTCGTGCCAGTCGCTTAGCACCTCATTTACACCAGAGAGTGTGTTCTCCAGGAACTAGCATTTCCATTCCCATTCCGATGCCGATCTCAACACGCAATCCACAGCTCTGTCACAATTTTGTCACTGCAACGGCGATAAACTGGAGCGATAACAATCGATATATCTTGTCTTGACTAAATTGTGTGGGAAATTTTCTTAAACAATTGCCACTGTTTGTGAACTGTGTTTGAAATTATGAATTTCCCACACGCCGGCGATTAATTATCGTTAAACGCTGGCTGGCATATCGTCGATATCGGGTTTTTGAGAAGCGGAGTCGAGGTGCAGAGGCTTCATTAGCATGTGCTTGTACGAGTATGACTGTAATTATCGTGCAATAAAAACGTGAGTTGCATTCGTCGGCAACCAACATCTATTTATTTTCTATTTATGCCGGACTTTTCGTCAGAGATATCAAACTTAAAGAGAGGGTAGGGGGAGCGCATGCAAAGAAGTGACTCTTTATGAAGTTGCTCTGCAAGTTGATCGATGGATGATGGGTGAGGCAAGACATGAAATATATAGAGACCATTACGTAGATATGAGGATTTTTTTATCTTCAGAGGGGTTTCTTGGATAATTTCGAATATTTTATGGTGGCGAACTATCTAAGAAATTTGAAAATATATTTGAGATCATAAAACAGGTAATGAAATCAATTAATGAGAGGTATATTCATGCAAGACTATTAGAATATATTTGTTCTTGGATAGCCAGGGAAAATACAAGTCTCTGATTTCTTTTCCCAATTTTCTCCTAGCTAAGCTATAATTTCGCAACAATTACTTAATTCGGCACAAAACATTTAATGAATTTTAATCCAGCGGCGACAACCGCCACAGAGGACTGCACTAGCAATATCCGCGACAAAATCGCAGACACAGCAACAACAACAACAAATGCATAGCATTATCAACAACATTAGAGCGTTGACAATCTGTACATAAGAGCAATAGCACAACAGCGACAATAACAACAACGAGTAAGCTGAGCAAGCAACAACATGAGCAGCATGAAAAACTTCCAAGTCATATGGACAACGGACAAACATGCATCCAGAGAGTTTTCCATACCAGAGATTTCCCTCTCCCCCTCTGCCGAATCACACACACAGCCAGCCACCCCCTCAACAAAAACAACAACAATCCACAACAGCGACAATATTATTACTTTCATTGTTGTTGTGTTGTTGCTGGTGGTGTTGCCAGTTGCAAGTTGCAAGTTGCCAGTTGCCAGTTGCTGGTTGCTGGCGTACGGCAAACATTTCCTGGTACAGCGACGACGTCCACAATTTAGCTCAACTATTACAAATCGCATTAGATGCTAAATTTAGCAAGAGAGAGTACAAAAAAGAGCAGACATTGCAACTGAAATTGCAACTGCAATAGACCGACCATAGTTTGCATATTTCCACCTCGGTCATCTGCCGATACTCGGGCTGTTCCTCGCTTCTGACCCTAATCGGTGGACGGACAGTGCAACATTCCACTCCAGGGCTCTTTTTACCCGATCTCAGCGTGGCGTGGGAGTGGGAGTGGGTGTTGCCGATGCCCACGCGCTGCCAGTGCCCACGCAGAGCAAATGCCCGATTCTTGGGCCACGCAATTGCTCATAATTTGCAGGTTGCATGCTTTTCAGCAGCAGTTAGGGAATAGAGGTACACTCAAAGGAATATTCGCCCTAATAAAGAGAAGAGATTTAACAAGCAAACACAACTTGCCACATGTTACAATCCGGAATAGGGACTGACATAAGGAAGGTGTTGCCGGCATAATGGGAATGAAATATTGACAAATGAAGGCGAATCAAAGACGAATCAGAGGCTGGCGGCAAAGGCTAAAACAAAGGCAGTTACAAAAGTCGCAAGTTGACATTTGGCAAATGTCAGTTGCAGTTTGCATTTGCCGTTGCCGACACAATAAATAGCATTTGAAGATGTCGCAGTTGCGCCACACGACACCAACAGCGGCAGCATCCCATGGTGTTTGCTCTCGTTTGTTTGGATTTTGGGAATCCCCTCCATTCGGATCTCTTTCTACACTTTCGGGTAATTTCTCATAGTTCGATCTACATTGAGGTCTGATCAGCGTTTAACCAACAGCTGCTGGCAATTTGCTTTTGTTTCTGCTACACTGTGTTATTCTTGGCTTTCCTTATGGCTTTTCCGACCATAAATCAATGGCCCGAATCCAGCCCAGAAATCAAGGTAGCACCGGTCGATGATCGCAGTCCCAATCTCAGCCGTGATAATACGATACACCTCCTAGATCGAGCTGTAGCTGGCATAAAATAATGAACCATTCAACTGGCTGTTCGATCATTAGTCGGGGTAATTGAAAAACCCGGGGAAAAGAGAGCCAAGAAACCCCAAGGAATATAAGAGCCGGCCAATCTTAACCAATCATTATCCGAGCCAGAAACTAGACCAGCTAACGGTTGGCTTTGCACACGTATTAAAAAACTATTTCTCTCCTAGCCACCCGATTTCCTTTTTATTTTCGCTACCAACTCTTGCGGTTGTAGGCCAACTTTTTGCCAAGATCAAGCAGCTAATTACATTTTAGCCAACGAAAGTGAGACTGAGACTTTGTGTTTTACCATCAAACCCCCATTGTTTTCTTCCGTATTTACTTTCTCGAGTTGATTTTTTATTTTCGGGGGTGTGTCAAGGCTTATATTTTACATAATTATTGTGATTTAATTTGCGCTGCTTTCCGGGACATGCAACTTGTGCAGCGTGCGGCGTGCAACCTGCAACCTGCAACTAGCAACTTGCAACATGTGTAAGCCATCAACATTCGGTATGCATATTAAATTGCAGTTCCGATTCGATTCCGACGTGACTGCCAGCTAAATGGCTGAAGCCACTCCCACCGCCCCCATTATTATGCGATTTGCATTCACTCATTTGAAAGCCTCGTTTTTGTATTTTGAGTAAAAACGAGAGGGAAAAACGAAATTTACATTTCGATTGATCGGTTTCTTGTGCTCTTGGGTGTGGACCCGCGGACTGGTAGCAGGT